TTACTTATGCAAAAAACAGACACAGTCTGCGGGGCAGTTTCAAGACTATAAAGTACTACAGGAAGGTAATGAAGTGGTTCTTCCTCGAAGCTAACCACAGAACAGACATAAAACTGAGCTAAGAGCCGTTGTAAGCGGCTAGCTCGCACGTCGCGCTAGCGATCCGCTCGCATGCATTGCACGTGGCGCTGCCGACAGGATTAGGACTCTGGTCCGCCAATGGGATGAGTCAGAAGGCCAGTCGAGATGCTACGCGCTCAAGGTCACTATCTGATTGGTCTGACTGCAGTCTAATTTTGTACATGCGCATGCATGTCTTTTTATTGCCTTGGAAAACACACTGTTAGCATACAACAATAACCCTGTATTCTCTAGCCCTTGCTAAGGGAATTCGGTCAGGACGTTGTCGACCATCGAGGCTTGGGGTAATTTAATCCCCCTTACCTTTATGTAGCTCCAGGCCTAAGCTAACCTAGGCGGTCACTTTCAGTGGGGGCAACCAGCGATATAAGCGCACGTGTAAGCGAACATACTGAGCCCAGTCATCCATAACTATATTTATCCCACGAAATTCTTCTAGGCGGGTGAAGTTCCGAAAAAAGCCGATCTCTGCTAATTCAGATTATTTTACTAGTAGACAAAAAAAGATAAACTTCTGTACAAGTTAATGGCCACAGGCACATTTTTTTATCACTTCTTCTCCCTCCTCCCCATTGAAACTGTCGCTGTCCTTCAGATTTGCAGCGCCGTGGTTATTTTGACCTTGGCAACTTTTCAAAAGAGCTTTGCTGAGGATGTATCGTTAGGCAGCTCGTATTCGGATTCACAACTTTGCTATACAAGTTGTTCCTCGCGCGTTTAGACGTGTTGAGCATTATGCACCAATTCTAACATGGCTTATCTAGTTGGTCTAAGTTACTTTGTGAGAGGACGTTGTTACTTTTGTCCTGAACGATCCGAAGACATGTCCCGTCTAGCCGGACTCCCCCACCCCACTAGATTTTAATTGTGTAATATTCCAAAAGGATTATTTGTAGATGCCCTTCATGACATAAAACCATTTAGTATACGTTCTCCTACAGAAAACAATAAATAAAGCACGCATACATACACAAAGCGTTTAACAAGGCTCGTGAGTTATCGTAGAAACCCAAATGAAGTTCGTGAAATCATGCAGAGCAGAACAAAATAAGTGGAAGTTGACTAAACAGCCAGTGGAAATACCAGGTTCCCGTACATGTCTCAATGAAACATCATCAATCCCGATCCACAATCATACAGACGTCAAGGTTGAAGATGTGACCAACACACGTGGCATATGTTGCCAGCTCCGACTTCGAGTAGTCGAAATCACTGCCAGGCTTCAAGTAAACCTCGCCCGCTGAGCTAATATTCTTCGTTTCCTCCACCTTCTTTATGAAAATTTCATTTTCACTGCTACTGACATCAGATCCAGTGTAGTTACTTTTCACAATCTAGTGAGTAGACGTTACGATTTTAGAAATGTATTTATGGGAATTCGAGAGCTGACGCGTGAGAGTTTATCGCAAAGGTGTTAAGGCTACTAAGGTTTAACCCTAACGGCTGCGATCACCCAGGCCCGGTTCCTTAGGACATGA